GTGGATTTTAGAGATGTGAGTGAAGTTGAGAACAGAGAGGAAACAGAGAATGTAAAAGAAGTTGAAGAGGAGAATGTAGAGAGGGAACATTCTGAGAAATTTGAGACTGAGATTCAGAGAGAATTTATGGAAGATAAAGAAAGAGAGAGTCATGCTTTGGGAGAGGAAGAAGAAACTGAGGATGATAACTTGGAAAAGACTCAACAAATTGATGAACAAGACAAGATTTTGGAGTTTGTGGAAGAAGAAACAATTACTAGTAAACAAGAGTTAGCTGATACCAATAAAGAGAGTGAAGACAGTAGCTTAAGGAAGCTTCCAGGCATTGAAGGACGAGATTCTAATGCAAAGACAAGACATGGTGAACAAGGTAATAACCAGGAGCAGCAAGATTCACAAGTAGAGACTAAAAGTGATGATTTGGGATCTAGAGCAGTTGAAGAAGAGATTGAAGAACAAGAACCTGGTGAGGTAGATAGAACGAGTAAAAGCGGAGCAACGGAAAAGAAAATGACTGATGGTGATGGCCCGAGCAAGGTTCGAGGGATTGAAGAACGAGAGAGACGCAGTGAAGAAAGCAAGATTCAAGATATGGTAGAAGGAAAACGAGGAGAGGAGAAGCAGAAAATTGTTAAGATGGAAGAGGATGATGCGGAAATGGGCCAAGGATTTACACCAAACATTACAGAAACTGAGACAAAAGCTGAGGAGTTTGAATCTGATAAACTAGATGAGGTAAAGAAGATACATGAACTGGTTGAGAAGAAAGAAGAGGAAGACGAAAATGCTAAGATTGGAGAACTGAAATTTCAGGGACCAAAGCGACGCGGCAAACAAGAAGAGATCAAAGAATTGGTGGAAGAGCAAACTCTAGAGGCAGAGACAGATACCGCGGATGATACTCCGAAACCAGTTCAAGAAATTGAAGATACCTTAGAGAGATGTGAGGGAAAACACAAGATCGAAAAACTTTTCCAAGAGGAAGCAGATAATGAGCACAAAGAGAAAAAGATTAATGATGCTGGTTCAAGAAAAGTTCTAAAGTTGGATGAACCAGCAAGATGC